ATGGGCTATCAGCAGTTTCCGGTTAATCTTTTAAGAGCAAGGTGATGTGGCAGCATAGATGGGGAGGTGTTGATTGGCGAGTGAGAGGTGCGATTATTCCTAGCACCGCTCATTTGAAAAAGAAGAAACAACCATGGCTCTTGAATATTGACGGTAACATGCCGACCGAATTCCAATTCTCATGCCTTATAATGTCTTTCACCTGAAAGATGGCTGAGGACAGAGGAAAAGTAACAGAGAGATCAGCAACAAAGCAAAAGCTACCATGGCTGCTGCAGCTATTCTCTGCTCCGGAGTCATATCCTTGCTGTTGTTGGCTAACTGTACTGTTGCTCTGTGTGATAAACGATTGAGAGACGCTAGGCTAATGGAAGAAGGCGCTAGTGGTAGAAGGAATCTGATCCATAATGGCCTTGGAAGCACTCCTCAGATGGGGTATGTGTCACTTGATCCCTCTCCTTGCATATCTCATGTCTTTACAAAATTTTATTTGGATATAGGAAATCTTAGCCGGCTTTCAGTTGTTTAGTTCTGTCTAACAAGCCTAAGGAAGTTCTCTTATGTTTTCATATTTATACAGTTTAATGCCTAATCCCACGTAGGAACAAAAGTATGATTTTTAGTGGTATATACATATGGAAACTATTAACAACTGAACTTTGAATCGGAAATATCATTATAGGAGGTATAGTCTTGAATATGTAATGGACAGGGCTACCCTTTGTACTGAACTTAAGATTTCGAGGTCTAGTGAACGTTTGCCTAAGAGTTGTTACCGGATGGGCCTTGGCCATGGTCATCCAAATTTGGATATAACTAATTTTAGCCATTTTGGACTAACATGCCTATGGAAGCCTTCCTTATATTTTCTTATTCTTTTACTGTGTTGATCAGGTGGAACAGTTGGAACCATTTCCACTGCCAAATCAATGAGACATTAATCAAGGAAACAGGTAAAGAAATTACTTTACCATTTTCAACTTCATACATCATGACCAATAATTTATGAGTGCAGTAAATTTGTGCACACAGCTGATGCAATGGTGTCAACTGGGCTTGCTGGTGTTGGGTATACCTACATCAATATAGGTGCAGTAGTGAAACATTATTTTTTTACCTTCTATCATCTCATTTTGATTGTTTTATGCGTTTGGGTCATTGTATCTAATTTAGTTTCTCCTGTTTCATTAGACGATTGCTGGGGTGAACAAAATAGAGATTCCCAGGTTGGATTTTCCTCCATGTTCTTTTTCATTAAATTACATGCATTGAAGTTCTTCATTGTTATGGTGGATAAATCTTACCCTTTTCCCATGTTTTTGTGGTCCATTGTTTCCTATACTTCTGGAAAGTAAGATGTTTATTCAAAATGTGGAAGATTAAATATAATTCTCCTTCCAAAAGCAAACAACTTCACTTATGCACACCAGATAGATGTTCATATGCTCACATGAAAGATCTCTGCCAATTTGAGTTGTAACTGAAGAGTTTTTGCAATAACTAAATGCTGGTGCTTGAATTGAACAGGGGAATTTGGTTGCTAAAGCATCAACATTTCCTTCCGGGATTAAAGCTCTAGCAGATTATGTCCATGGCAAAGGGCTTAAGCTTGGAATTTACTCAGATGCTGGGTATTGATTCTTACAGACCTATAGCCTGAAAATAGTTGGGATGCACTTATACATATCATGTCAAGAAATGGTATCTGATTACAAACTTCATCTTTACTCATTCTGATAGGACGCAAACTTGTAGCAAAACCATGCCAGGTTCACTAGGATATGAAGTTCAAGATGCAAAAACCTTTGCTTCATGGGTATGCCGTATGCTTCTCTTGTGTAGCTCCTTTTCTTCCCCCTTACATCCACATCAGTTTCTTCATATTTGGTATTGTATAGGGGAGTTACTCTGCTTATTTTGTCTAGGGGGTCGATTACTTGAAGTATGATAACTGTGAAGATACGCATGGTATAAGCCCAGAAAAAAGGTAGTTTAACTAATCTTTTAACTTATGGTTGTTTCATGGAATGATGACCATAATTTGGTTAAATTATAAAAAGAGAAAGGTGTTTTTCAATACAGATTGTACGTTTTTTTATATAGTTTGAATATTAAAATTACAAAAACACCATTAATGAATAAGTTTAGAGGTGTGTTTCATTAAATATATTTAAGTAATTTCAATACCTAAACTGCACCCAAAAAAAAAGTACAGTTCATATTGAAAAAAAAATTTTTCTTATAAAAATATGATAAGTTAAAATAGAGATAGTAGAAAACAACAAGTACTTATTCCATTTTTCTTCTAGTATAAGTTGACAGAGGAAGGGAGAGCTAATAACACATCTCCCTTGGTTTTAGCTATTTCTTCCTTCTTTCAATTTTCATTAGAAGAAAATTGATTGACCCATAGATATAGTAATTCTATTTTTACTATTTGCTATGATATTTATCTTATATTTTTGGAGTCTGTTTGACCAACGAATGACAACTCCATCTAATTGCCAAACATGAGACTTCAAGGAAACAATGCTAGAAAATGTATTCATCAATTATACCAACGAACTAACATGAAAATTTCAAATTTCTTGATAATTGGATTATTTTGTCCAAAGGTACAAGAATATGAGCACAGCTCTTCTCAAATCCGGGAGGTCTATCTTTTTCTCTTTATGTGAATGGTGAGGTTCTTTACTTGTCAAATTGGGGCAAAATATTTCCTTTGAATACCAATTCAAAACTGCCGCAAACAAGCACTATCTTTAGACAGTCACAAACTCTTGAATATATATGTACAGGGGAAGAGATGATCCGGCAACTTGGGCACCAAATTTGGGAAATAGTTGGAGAACAACTGGTGATATTCAAGATAATTGGGATAGGTATGCATGTTAATAAAAAATGTTAGTGAAACAAGATGCTTGATCATTACTCCCTCTAGTTTGATTTAGTTCTCTCAATTTGACTTCTATATAAAGTTTGATCAAATTATGATATATAATAAATAGATGACAATTAAAAAAAAAAATTTTATACATAGTTTTTGTTGAGTATTTTCATTTAGATCAAAAAATATTTTTAATTATTATTCATTTATTGTATAAAATCATCAAGTTAATTAAGACAACTAAAAAAACCAGAGAGAGTATGAAGTAATTAGTGAGGAAATTAATCTTGAGTCTGAACCTTTCAATCAATGTTAAATTAAATCGAAATACATTTTGGATTCAAAATATATTACCTTTTTTCTTTTGGGGAAGTGATGATAATGTTTGTGGTTTAGGATGACATCTATAGCTGATAAGAACGACAAATGGGCATCTTATGCAAAACCTGGAGCTTGGAATGGTACTGAATATCACAACTGTTTTCATATTTAATTACGATTGTGAAATGATTTTTCTAACCTTTCAACGCATGGCAAGAATAGATCCTGACATGCTTGAAGTTGGAAATGGTGGAATGACTACAGAAGAATACCGCTGCCATTTTAGCATATGGGCATTGGCTAAAGTATGATCCAAAAATTTTTTATATTTATTTATTATCCACGAATCTATCTCATTACTATTTTAATGGTTGCATGCTCACAGGCTCCTCTATTGATTGGTTGCGATATTCGATCAATGGATAATGTAACCTTTGAATTGCTTAGCAATAAAGAGGTTATTGCAGTCAATCAAGGTGATGGCTATAGATTATTTCCATTGCTCTTACTATATTGGTGTTTAGATTAGTTGTTTAGATATAACTGATGGCAGATAATTAATAATTGATGACTGATAATTGTTGTTTATAATTAAGAATATCTAGTCTATTTGATTAAAGTCAATAGCTGATAACTGTTTGCCAAATGACAAAACAAACACCTCTTGTGACTAGGTAGATAGAAGAAATCAAAAGACTTTTTGAGTATAACAGATATTTTAACTCTGCAGATGAACTTGGAGTGCAGGGGAAAAAGGTGAACAAGACGGGGGATCTTGAGGTAAAACAAAAAACTTTCAGCAGATGGGAAAACTCTTGTTGATTATAAGCCTTTTCCTTGCATTGAATTACAGAATGGTGCAGGTATGGGCGGGCCCCTTGGCTGAGAACAAGGTGGCTGTGGTGTTATGGAACAGAGGATCTTCCACAGCAAATATTACTGCATATTGGTCTGACATAAGGCTAAACTCCTCTATTGTTGTCGATGCTCGGGATTTGTGGATGGTAATCTTCCTTTCAAACATTCAAACTTCATCTCTGTTTCTTACTTCCCTCAATTTCTCTCCTAATTTCCTTTTTTTTTTTTTTTTTGGTATCTTAATTTAAACAATGTGCAGCATTCTTCACACTCATCCGTGCAAGTTCAGCTTTCTGCTCGAGTGGATTCTCATGCTTGTAAAATGTACACTCTTACACCCCACTAAGCGTTCAATTTGAATGCTAAAAAAATTTAGATGCACATGGCAATGCATGCAGAAAAAAAAGGAACCATGTGTAGAAAAAAAATAAAAACATGAATTCTTGTACTCGAAGGGTTTAACATGAATAGTTGTATTTATAGATCATAAAATTCAAAACAATAATGTTGATATGTAGAAAAAAAGAAAAGAAAATAAAAGAAAAGATTGAATTTATAAGAAATACTCAAATTAATTGGGTTATTCAGAAAGAAACCACATTAATTCTAATTTGCCCCGGCAGTACCCACAACTTTCTTAATGAAAAGTTGATTGTTGAATTGAAGAGTATATCAGAACTAACACAAGCATTTACAATGAGTTTGAATTGGGGAATATGGAGAGCAAGGGGAGGAGAGTAAGGGGAAGATGTATCACTCCCTTTTGCTGGATTACTTTTGGGTATTTTTAACCTATGTCTTGAAGGCACATTTTTTATTTTAATTGTTAATGAAAGAATAAATGTTGGCATTTATTTAATCAACTGTTTAATTAAAATGAACCATGTATTATTGGTGATGAAATTACTATCAATTTTTATTATTTTTAATATCAATTAATGATTAAAAAAAAAAGTGTAGTAGTTGTTTACATCATAAATTGTAAAATTATTAGATGATGTCACGTGTCATGAGATTTGAACAATTAATTATGATTAAGCCACCTCAAACTTGATTTTGCTATGATCTAGAGTAGAATAGACCTTACTGATGACAGCCATGTGGAATGTCAAATCTATAATTGTTGGTAACTATCTCCTAAAAATTTGAAATTATTTAATTTTAGTGGAGTTAATGATTGGATTTTAGGGGAAGTTACCAACCAAATTTAGTAAATGGGAGACATTGAAGGCTAATCTGATGAAGTGGCAGACAGATGGCAAGTTCTAGAGTAGTCTTTAACCAAGTCTATTGTTGACATGTCTAGTCAAAACAGGTAATTTTGACCACATTTTTGCAACTAAGTTGTGGGTGGTTACTATTATTCTTGATTTTGATGGATTTAAAGCCAAATGTGAATGAGAATATATGCTTGGCTTATTTTTAGTAATATTGATATGATTTTCATAAATTCCCAAATATTGTGTTTGAATATGTTTCCTTTTATATTGGAAGCTAAGTTAATTGTGTGACGACCTATTCAATATATTTCCTTTTATGGTGAATTAACAATATTTAGGTTGAGGTTCTAACCCCTAAAACAAGGTCTAGAACCCTCGATGATTCTATTTTTGGGCGGAATTACAAGAAATTGTCCAAGTTCCAACCCCCAAAAATCAAGGGTGCATAACCATGAAACAAATTGTCCATTGAAGAATGAAGAAAGGGTTCCAACCCTTAGAGGCAGGTTCCAACCCTTCATGCTAAAGACTTTGAATAACTTACCATAATTAGATTGTATTCTTTCTAATCATGCTTTAATGGTCATAAACCATTGATAGAGCAATTTCTAGATATACAATTAGATTTGGAAGAATGGAGTAAACATGGAAGAAGAGCATTCAACTTGAAAAATCAAGAGAGTTTGAGCTTTCACGTTGTTCTTTGAAAATTTACTTATTCTCTACAATTGTTCTTGTTGTCTTTCATTGTAACAAGTGAGAGAGGGATTGGGGAAATCTTGTTAGATCTAGCAATTCATCCTTGGGGTATAGGAAGAGTTGAAAGATTTGTAACAAGGGGACTGAACAGTTCAATAGCACCTGTAAACTATTGGGAAAGTAATTCAATAACCTTGTTAGATCTAGAGAAAACCATCTTTGTGGTATAGGATTGGGTTTGTGAGAAATTGTAACAAAGGGTTGAATTATTGAAGGTGGATAGTGCCAACAAAGCTATTGCAAAAAATTGCATCTACACCTGAAAGTTGGAGGAGAGCTTTGAATCCAAAGCAAACTCTCAAGCAAGCAACTTGAGGAGTGGACTAAACGCAAATTGTGACCAAACCACTATAAATCCTTGTGTTTGAGCTTTCTTTTCCCCTTAATGTTTAATTTTTGCACTTTAAATCATTTGTTTGCAATTGCTTGTGAGTGTTCATTGTTTTGTACTTGAATATTGCATAAAGTTTTTGAAAACCCAATTCAACCCTCCTCTTGGGTTGCCATCATCTAGGCCAACAATTACAAGCCATTTTTTGAGATTCATCAACTACAGATATGAAGAAGCAACGCATTCAAAGGAGGCCTACCTCTCTTAATAAAAAAACTACATAATATACTTTGTAAAATGCCTTAGTCAAGCTCTCAATTTGCTTCTATGTTAGTAGATCAGCTCTCAAACTCTCAAATTTTAGGTTTTAATTGTTTTATGTGGGATCTATCCTTCTCCCTTCATAGGTTCTATTCTAGATCAATAGTTTTGTCAATGCATTTCAATTCTATCAATACAATCAAATTTTAACTCTGTAAATAGTTTTCATTATAGTTAATGCAATCTTTACTTTATGGTGCAATGCTTCATTTTATCCTCAAAATTCTCAATTTACTTTTTTGCAAATAGTTCAATTAAAGTCTGCCAGTAGTTGCTTATTTAGATCTGCTTGCTATACTAAAATTTGTAGCTTACTCTAGCCTTAATCTGCCTTCCAGTTCTATCATGCAATCTTATTTTCTACCAGCTCTCTCTTTCTTTCTTGCTCTACTTGATTAACAAACTTTATTGTGGCCTTAGATGTGAGGAGTCCTTGGATCTGTCTGAGTGAAGTTTGTAACCCATTTTGCAAGAAAGAATCCCTTCTTCTTTCAACATTGTTTGATCTAATTTGAGGTGCATTTTTAACACATAATTAACATTCTTCCAACCATCCCACATGGAGGTCAACCGCTTGGTAGAAGAGGGTTGTCAAGAAAATCTATCTTCGTTGCTTTGAGCAAAATAAGTGGCATGCCACATAGTGACCAAGAGGAGAGGATTTTTGGGGAAATAGTAATTACAATTTTAACGACATATTTTAGAAAAATCTTTACTTTATTAATAGAAGGGGAGGGAGATGAAAGGTTATGGAATCCCTCTACTCTTTTGTTTTTCATCTCTTCAATTTGAAGGAATTGTTATGGATTTATTCTATTCATTTAAACTTTTTAATTTTTAAAAAAATATATATACATAAATATTTTATTTTAATTATTTATTTAACTAGTAAAACTAAAAAATTTTATTATATTTGTTTTATTTTTCTTTAACTTATTTAATTAAATAAAAATATTATCATTTATTTTCCTCCCCTTTTATTTTGTCCAAATAAAATTAACACTAATCATTTACTAACTTTTCCTTCTCCTCCAGCTCTCCCTTTCCTTCCCTCCCATTCCTTTTCCTTTCTCCTTTTTGTTTACCAATTTTTATCCAAACATAATTGTCATGACAAATAGGAATCAAGCAATGTTATCCAAAAAGTTGATTTATATTTTAGAGATTTAGGAGGACGATGAAATGAAGAGTGAAGGGAGAAGAAGGGATTTGATGGAGAGGAGGAAGATGGCGAGAGAAAGGAGGAAATCATGGTGAGAATGCTGGTTGATCTAACAAGATTACCCACGTGGAGGTGGCCACATAGAGGAGGGTTTTCTTCTCCATTGGGAGAGACAGCCCTAAAGTTGAGTTGGAATCTACATGTAAAATTAGCCCATACCAAAATCTAACGAGAAGAGTGTTGTGAGAAAAACTGACTTTTGAACCTTTGAATGTGGCATCACTAGGAATTGAAATGCAGATGACATTTTGCATAAAATTTAATTTGCAAAATTTTTACTTAATCTCTGGTTTTTTTTTTATGCCAGTTTTTGTCTTTTTGTTTATTGTAAATTTTCACATTAAATTAATATTGAAGAAATATTTGAATTAAATACAAGAAAATAGTATATAGCTCGTCATCATCCTAAAATTTCTTTTGAATAACTTATCTAAAAACCTATCTTCTAATTAATATCTTTTAAAATTGATCATTTAATTAAAAATTTTATATATGTAAATTATATACGTCAATTTTTATATTAATTTAACACTTATAATCTTTTGATAAAAAAACTATAATTACTAATATATTTAACAATGTTAAATTTCTTATAATCAACGAAGTAATTAGACTTATTAAAATAATTTCAAAATTAGTATACAAAATAAAAATTTCAATTGAAAGTTTTATTTAACTAAATTATGCATGTCAATTTTTATATTAATTTAACACTTATAATCTTTTGATAAAAAAAACTATAATTACTAATATATTTAACAATGTTAAATTTCTTATAATCAACAAAGTAATTAGACTTATTAAAATAATTTCAAAATTAGTATACAAAATAAAAATTTCAATCCAATAATTAATTTTTAAAAATATTAATTAAAAATAAATTTTTAGACATATTTAAGAAAAATTAAGATGGCGAGTGCAGAATACCATTTTCTAAATACAATAAGTGTTATTTCATATTTTTTAATTGATTTTACATTAGATATCTTGTGTTAAACCCCTTGCGTCCAATTTTCACATCTTTTGACATTTTTATATTTTTATCTTTTGCAGCGTGGGTTATGCCATTTTTTTTTTTCATGCATAGGAGATAATTATATTTTATTTTTTTAATTTCCCCATATCCTCATGCCTAAAACTGAACGTTAGGATCTCTTAATTTAGTTACAAAAATATTATCATTAAATTATTTAAATTATTGATAGCTATTTCCTCAAAAATCCTCAAGTGTTGCCAGATGTACAGAATCTAGATACGGGCGTACCACTTGCATTGCTGTAAAGCTAGAAAGGAAATTTTTCCCAACGACCCTCTTTTTCCTCGTAGTTAACCTCCTTGCGGATGGTTGGAAGGACGTTCATTTAAAATCGAAATCTACACCTTCAGATGATTTGCAAGAGGGAGGGATGCCTTCCTATAGAATGGCTTGCTAAATCTGCCTTGAACAGCTCCAAGTACTTAAATACTATCACGAATTAAAGTTAATAAATCCTAAATAAACTAAATGATATGCAAATTAAAGTAAACTTGCAAATAAGAGATGCATCCAAATTAAACTAATCCTGTTCATTGTTGAATTAAACTACTATCAACAAACAGATTTGGAAATTAAATTATTGCAGAATTAGAGATTTAACCTTAAATAATCATGA